TACGGTCGAGAATAGCCGTTAAATTCTCATATTGTATCGGTCGAGGATAGCCGTATAAATCCTTGGGTAAAGGTTCAAGGATAGCCTTTGAAATCCTTGGGGGAACGGTAGAAGATAGCCGTTAAATCTTCGTTGTAAACGGTTCGAGATAGCCGTGGTGAAATCTCGGAGTGAATCCTATTGGCAAGGGTTGTTTGCCAAACTAGTGCGGTGCTTTGACGGAGTTCAAGAGACCGAGACTTAGTGGATTCGGAAATCATTGAGGAGGAGCCTTGAGGTACTGGAGTAGGGAGTTCCCGAACCAGTATAAAATTGGTGTGCATTTTATTTACGCTTTTATTTCTGCGTTTTATATATTGCTTCCGCATTTGCCAACACCGTTTTTATTAAACTCCGAAAAGTTTTTAAACGCCTTATTCACCCCCTTCTAAGGCGTGGGCACAACGACTAAACCGACTAACAATATGGTTCCTTTAATCTAACCACTAGTCATAGACAAAGCCACCTTCACTCTAAAAATATCTTACTACGCCTAGCCTTTTAGAACATTGGTAATCACGAACCAACTTTACTACACACTCCGCGCTAGAAATTTCCTTTTTTCGTATCCAATACGTGCCAAAAAAATATTCATGTTTTTTTGTCCCTCAAAAATATATGTTCATGTTTTCTTTTAACAAAAAAATGGTGGATGATATCATTTCTTATTTAAATTGAAATCACACACTTTCACTTTTCTTAATATGCCAAATCAAAACAAAAAAAATTAGTTTGACAGATGGAGCACTAGAAAATGACTTTTAGGTACTGATATGGGTCACTTTGGTCCTTTTGTTTTTTGTGGGGAATCAAACTATAAAAGTTATATGCCATATTGTCATGTTGCCATGTGTACCTTGTGTGAGAGCTCCGGATTCACATTTAGCAAAGTTAGCAATTGCACGAGCAACTTGAGCTAGAACATCACCATGCCTGCACCCGACCATTCCTAAGAGTGCTTTGATGCCTCCTTCAACACTAAGCTTTGTTTGTAATTTATCTGCAAAAGTGTAATCATTTTATGGGCTAGATGTAAGGAGAGAGTGGGGGTCACCATCAAAAGTCTATGCTAAAAAAACACTTCCTTCGGATCTACATCAAATCCGGAAAAGGTTAGGGAGAGAAAATAGGAAAGACAGATGGGAATTCAAAAAGGAAAGTTTTCTTCTTTTTTTTCAAAAAGGAAAATAAATGTACATAATCTTTTAAAAAAATTACGAAATTTCATTTTTCTTTCTACGGATTATTTTCTTAGGTTAGTTAGGTTAAACTGTAAAACCAAACATATCCTTATGCGCCAGTTCCACGTTTCAAAAGCAGTGGAACTCTGGGATTTTAGAAGAATATTACTGTGTTTATTGTAAATAAGCATAGGTTCCAAGAAGAAAAAAGGGAAATTTAGAAAAAATACCGCTGCTACAAAGATTTGCAATAGCTCCTGCAACCATGCGAAGAGTTTGAGGATCTTCAGCATTCGTAGCTGTCATTGACAACAATTTTATGCCTCCCTGAGACATTATAAGCTCCCGGTTGGTCTCTGTTCACAACGAGGTAGAAAGTCAAATAGAAGGTGAATTCTGGCCTTGAACGAACCTAAGATCAGCTTGATGAATGCTTGAACTTTCTGAGTTTCATTATGTTGAAATGTGAATGTGAATCTCACCATTCATGGCAAGGTTTGCAATTGCTCCAGCTGCAACCCTTTGAATAGTCTCTTCATTTGAGACTCTAAGAATTGTCAACAAAGATTTAAGTCCACCTGCTTTGACAATTTTTTCCTGGTTTGCCTCTGAAAATACGACAGAAAAATATTGAGTGAAACACAGGAACAGCAATGATGAATAGCTATGATGTCACTTGGTAATGTTCTTGTTTCCAGTTTCTGAAAACAAGACATAATTCTGAAAATTGTCGGAAACGAGATAAGTTTCTTGATTTCATTCCCCTTGAAAATATACTCCAAATCTTGAATCTGTTTATAAAACATTTACTACTCCTTATAATTTATGAAAACATGTATATTATATGGTGATAAATACACATACAAAAAAAATATGGTGATAAATACTATACCCGAAATAGTCCACCTGAACATGTTTAAAAGTTTTAGAAATCTAAATGAAAAGCAAAGTTATTATCTAGTTTTCTATTTTCTATAATCTGTTTTCTACTTTAAAGTATGGAAAACATAGTTACAAGCTCAAATTTCAAATATCGCACAAGTGGTGGTTGTGATGATCAACCATGGCAGTGCTAGTCGCCGATGGTGGAGTAGGTTGATCACTGATATTGGTGGTGGTGGTCACTGGCAGTGGTCATTAGTTAAGGTGGTGGTCGGTGATGGTAAAAGAGGTTGCTGTTAGTGTGATGATGGCAGTAGTTGTTGGTCGTGGTGGGGGTGTTTGCTAGTGATATTAATGGTCATTAACGGTAATATAATGACGATAGTATTGTGCAAATGTTGGCAGGGTCGCAGGGGTGGGAGCAAGCTGTCACAGACTAATGACAATGGTGTGGCGGTATGAGGTCAATCATTGTGGTATGTGATACCGTCGGAAGACTACGTGAGTAGTCGTATTTGTCATCAATGATTGGTTAACTTTTGAAAGTTGTTTTCTATTACAAAATTAAAAGGTATTCTATTTTCTAATTTTCAGAAAAAACTGGAAAAAAAATACAAGAACGTTATTTTGCTTTCTACAAAGTATATTTGAAGTGGTGAAGTAAATAACTTTTCAGTTTTCAAAATTGGGACTCAAACAAATAGACATGTTTTCTGTTTTTGATTAATAATTTCAGAAAACAGAAAAACATTCAAGTTAGTAAACGAGCCCCGTGTTTCTGAAACCAACTCAAAAATAAATGATGAAATGATTTATGAACAAAAGAGTTTAGTCCTTAATGATGACAGTTGTTACGCGGAGGATGATATTTATTTTATTAATTTATTCTTACACTTATATAGTGATAGCAATTAGGAACACAGACATCTCATCTCTACACCTGAACATAACCCCGCAAAGGACCGATTAGGAGAGCATGAGTGAAGCCGATCAGTAATACAGTAATTTGTATTGTTGAAGGTATGAAGGTTGCGGATCAAGACTTTGATGAGCCATGGCTCATTTGTATGATAAACATGGAGGAAAAAAAGAATGTCAGCCACGAGCAAGGATAACCAGTGCTTAATATTTTGGGCATTTTCAAGATCATGTTTGGTGGAATAGGCCATGAGATAATTTTCATAAAATATTTTATGATGTAATCGTGTGGTAATTACCATTGCCATTACGTAGTAATTAGGAAACAAGATTGAGCAAATAAAGTTTCTTTTGAAGAGATATCATTGTTAAGACTAAAAACTTCGGAGACATGTATCTTGAAGATCAACCAAATGGAATTTGATAGGATTTATTAGGATCTTTATATTCTCAATAAATTTCATTTGATTTGTAATTGAGTTTGTGTTTAGCCAACACATTTTTTTGTGTCTTTAGCCAATGCATATTCTTATTTCCCTCATTTGTAATACATTGAGGTTTATTTACATAGAGTGTGCCTCTTAAAACCTTCGAGTAGTTTTAGTTGAACTTTATTATAATTTTATTATCGTTGTGAGTTTTCTAAATTAATCAAAGTAGATCCTATTATTTACCTTAAGCACTTAGGATATCACATGTTCTGTGTTGTAACGGCATGACAAATAGAGGTGTGGAAGTAAAGCTCACTTGAAAAGAAAGTGAAGATGAAAAATTATAGGACTTTGATTGGGTGACATCCAGGGTTACCCTGACCTTTTTCTCTCTTACAGACATGGACATTCGCATGTTTGTGAATCCATGTCGGTTAGAACAAAAGAAAGGTTGGGGGGATCATTTTAGCACTATCCAAAATTATATAGTATAACATAAATCCAGTCTCCCCTTCCCTCCAAATTCCATTAACAAAACAAGCCTTCAAGAAGAAAGCACATTGCATGTAGCAGTTTATTACCTTCCGCGGCTAGATTTGCCACCACCTTTACAGCGTGGATACGGACATCAGTATCTTCTGCTTCAAGTAGTGACAATATCTTCTGCAGTCCAACTGTTAAGAGGCTAGTTATTAAGATAGAATAGACATGGCCAGAGTATATATGATTCTCAACAATTACTTGAAAAGTTTCACCACCTTGATCAAAGAGTTTTTCGATTGAAGCTTTCTCTTCATCTCCAGAACCTTGTAGTTGTTCGTGTATGAATGGACGATGTGGAGAACTCTGACCGCTAGGTAATTTTGTAGCCCCTCTATCAAGGTCTCTAGTTGTCTACAAGCACGAGGTTATTTTAATCACATTCAAATATGTATTACGTAATATATAAATGTATAACATAACTGCTCCCTTAGCTCTAATATTTACACCATCAAATCATGCAGAAATTTTGATGTGTTAATTCCCTTCAAAAACATTTTCAAATATCTTTCTTTTTTATATTATCAGGATAAAAATATATACCTTATCAGCTTCAGAACTTAATTGCAAAAGACGACTTTTTAATATTGATATTTCTTCCTCAAGTCTGGCTTTTTGTTGTGCCTCATCTTCCAGCATTTTGCGAAGCTTTAAGATCTCAGAACTTCCAGCTGCCTGGTAAGCAGGAAATTTCCCTAATTAAAAATCCGTACCCACAGAAAATGCACAAGTTGAAAAAGGAGCTAAAAAAACTTCGATCATGGTTGGAAAAAACCATGCCTCTGAGATTTTACATTGTGCTATTTGATTTTTAAGACCATTAATGTTGCTTTCTGCAGCTTCATGCAAGGAAGTTTCATGTTGAAACAACTTTGTAATATCAGCAGCATCCTCAGAAGCAGAAAAAACAGCAGGCTAAACACAAAGAACTGGCAGTAAATCTTATTGCCATTATTGGTGAAGTGATATTAGCAAGAAAATCAAATACATTAAAGCCCTTCAGAGGATATTACTTCTCTCCCCAAATATTTGTTGCAGCTTTCATCATTCTGGCTAACCTTTTCATGCTCTCCTTGATTTACTGCCCACTGCTCCTCTAGCTTCTTTATTGCATCAGCATACTCCTTTTGATACTCCATTCTCTCATTCTATATATGACAGCAGCTCACCAAAAAAAATGAAAATGAAAAGCACAGTTCAGATCAGGTTAGAAAACAGATCTTATATGCATGGAAAACAAACTAAGGTCCAACTCCATTTTCACTCTCTTTTTTACGCTTCCATTCTCAAAATGAGTAAGCGTGAGCTATCGGAAGTTTAGAATAAAAAGTCATCCATGCATCTAAGTTGGACAATAAGGGTGAGTGTGAGTCCTACCAGGCACTGCTGCAATGTTTGCATGTTTTCTGTTATTCTTAGAAAAAGGTTATCCATTTTCAGGTTGAATAACAAAATTTACTTCAACAAAAAAAAGTCCTTAAATTCTTCTTTTTTAATTTCTCTATTTTACTAAAAACTGGAAAGTTTCCCAAAAACTGACAATGAACACACCTTATAATCTTATATATTTCTTCTGATATTGTGAGTCTTTTTTTGCTGGAGCTTTAATATTGTTTTAACAGATTATGTGAGCCTCTTAAACAGATATTCAGTATTTTAATTACTAATCACAATATACTATACTCTTGGAGATTTTCTCTCATAGCATACTTATTATGATTGTGAGTTTATAAACTTTGCAGTCCACAGTTTAGTTTCCCCAATTAAATTCCACCTTATTCAATAATCAATATTGTGCTTTTATACTCTTAATTCTTTCATAATACTCTGAAATACTGTTCACATGACACGCAGAGGAACCTTTTCATTACCTCCAATAACTCAGCACAATTTCTTTCAGCCTCAGTAATTCGGTTCTGAGCTTCTTGAGCAATCCTCTCTATTTCATCCTGGAATAATTTTTGCTGCCTCTCATGTTCTGCAATAAGAGTCTCCAGTTGGAACTCAAGCCTTCTGGACAAACTTTTGTAGTCAAACTCTTCTTTGATTTTCAACATATTCTCCACCTTCATAGCCTGCACATGTCCATACAGATTAATATCCCCCCTGATTAAAGATCTTTGTTACTCTCCATTGACGTCACAAAAATAAAGATATCTAAGCCCACAAAGATGTTATGTTTATATATAACATGCAATCTCACACTAAAAGAATTGAAGAAATATATTTAGAGTTTACCCTTTGTCCAAAATATATGGTGCTTGCTGTCTCTGCCCGGTGGTGTGGAGACGGGCCAATGGTAATCACTAATGAAGTTCGTGCAGTACCTACCATGGTTTACAATCCTTTCAAGTGATAAGTGTCATTTTAGATGAAGAAAAATAATCTTACTTATAAAGACGTGTTTGGCAGGAAAATGGAAAAAGTGCTTTCAGCAGTGGAATCCAATTGGCACTTATTCAAAAAAGCATTTAAGTGCTAAAATGAGAAAGCAAACAACAACAACAACAACCAACCCGGTAAAATCCCATAACTCATGATAAAAATACATATACCATGAGTTCTCCCAATACGTCCATCGCCAATGATGCTTAAAAAGCCATTCTTGACAATGATTTAGCTAGACTGAATCAAAATGGCACATTCAACTTCCCTTTCTTTTTACTCTCTATGAAGTGTTGGGCAATAAATCAATCAATGCATCAAGGGTCTAACAGAAAATCTGCTTTTTAACAGGGGTAAAAGTGTAAAACCCTAGCAGACTTAATATTGTACTGGGTTTGTTGTTGTTGGAGTATAAGTAATATCCCAAACAAGCATTATTGATTGTGGCATGTCCAAGCATATTTTTAATTTTTTAACAAATTAAACTAGGTAATACATTATGGCCATAAAAGTGGCAAAATAATACTTCCACTCTCCAAAAAAAAGGTTCCACATATCTTTTTTAGTTTGATTAAAAAAGTGCTCATCTTTCCTTTTAACGAAGGAATTGTGTCGTTCACGTGATTTCTCTCCTCTGTACAAACCTAAACCATACACACCTTTAATAATAATCGTATCCAGTCAATTAAAGAACCTTATTTCGAAACGGATGGAGTCCTATTATTTCCATGCAAATGTCAGTGTGAAATAGACTTCTCAAACAATTATGGTGTGAAAACCCCACGCTTTCTTTATTAGCAAATGCATACCTCCAAATGAATCCCGTAGCAGTCTAGTGAGTTTTGAATCACGTACTGGAACATGACTATTGTTCTCTGCCAATGCATTGATGCATTTTCCAAGCGCAGTTAATGACAGATTGATTGACTTTGCTTCCTCTAATATGTGTGTGTCACTTCCTGTTACATAGCATATAAGATCTTAAGCATGCATTGGAAGGATATCTATATCCTAGAAGGAAGTAGTAGATGAATAAAAACACACATCATTAGAAGAACTGGTATTCTCCAAGAGTGCTACCTTTATCTGACTTGTCAATACGCTCAGAACCAGCAAGATCAACAACAATTAGTTTGCTTCCACGAACAGTTGGTGCCTCTAAGGTTTTAGTCAATTGAGATGTGCCATTTTCATTACAAACAGCAGAACTGTTGCCCTTGACTTGCCTTTTAACATGCACCTGAAACATGCACAAAATACGTGTGAGGTCTATTTGGAACTTGGGAAATGCTATGGAAACAAAACAGTGATGAAAGTTCTAGAGAAATTTGGGAGGAAATAAAATGTGAGGGAAACAAGAACTGTTCAAAGTCCTTCAAACTCTATATTCAAAAAATTGCTTATGCTTGTTTCATTTTTCTACTCCTACCATATAAAGACTGAGAAATCTAAACACGGGTAAAAAACAATTAAAACTTATAACACCAAACATATGACATTTCCCTTTGTATTTTCATGGGTAAAACTTAGAACACTAGAATACAATTTTCATAGCAATTTTTTCATTCCCTAGCATCCAGGATCCAAACATGCCCTTACTAAATTTCTGGATGCTAAATATGCAGGTGCAAATGACTATCTCAAGCAATGAAGAAGTGTCTATATTAGTTTATATATTAACTTCATTTACCATCAGTATAGCATGACTGCGTGAAGATTCTGTGTTCAATTTAGTATTAGCAGCATATCTATGAGCTTCACCTAGTTGAAGTAGTTGCACAAAATTTTTTTGGTCTCTGATTTCCACGGTAGTAGCCCCAGGAACTGAAACATCTCCAGTTTTAGGATCTTCAACTATGGATATATTGTAGTTCGTTGGATCAAGTAGATCTTGTATAGCCTCCATATAGAGCTTCATTGCATAAGTTATAAACAAGATTATATTACACAGCAGTGACAGCACAGAATATCAAAAGCAAAAATTCAAAAATTAAATAACTCCAGATGTCTTCCATGGTGAGAGACAGCAACCTGCAAGTAAGATACAGATACTGAGTCATTCTGCAGTGATATTTCAGCAAGAATATCTTCCATTGCCCGCACCATGATCCCGCGATCAGATGCATCTTCTTCACCTAGCCTTCCAACAGTGTATGTTTTTCCAGTCCCAGTTTGCCCATATGCCATGATTGTTCCATTATAACCCTCCAAGACACTCTGCCAAACGTGACAATAATACATATAACAAATTTCCTAACAATGAATAGCGGAAAATTTATATGTGTAGCTAAAATAGCAGAATTGAAGGTTAGTAAAGGAAAGGGAACACATAAAATTACTATATATGTCATGCAGGAGTGAAAAAATTGAAAATACATATGCAGAAGCTTCACATAAACAAATACTATGAGTGCTTTACACCGCCTGATTAGTCTTTAATGTCTCATTTTGGAGAGCAGTGAGGATGGTGAGTTTGGAGTGGTGGCAATGAGCTTGCCGTGGTAGCAGTGAGTTTGAATCTGTAGCATTTGGACCAGTTAAACCTTTTTTTAAAATGTGTTGGCTGTATAAAAATTTTATAAAATAAAAATTTGCTGCAGCGTGTTTATGGCAGTCTAAATTCCCCAATCCAGGCATATCCAAACAGTTAGATCATGATCTTAAGACTTTAGAAAGCTGTAACCAGCCCATGTCTGAATCCACATGAAGCCTTAGTCTTTAGTGACAGTTTGATTAATTAAGGTTTTCGTTTAGTGAATAAGACATAAACCATTCTCTCAACCACTTCAGCAGTCTTGATTCTAAGTCCAAGCCTATGCTGTACTGAGTACAGCAGGTGTTAGATAAAATTTCTAAAAACGTGTTCGCGGTGTTCCCATCATCATTGATGGTTGCCCCTTAATCCTTACTATGTTAGTGAATCGTGGCTCAATGTCATGAAATTTTAGTGTCAAATACAAATTGTCAAAAATTAAATGTCACTATAAATTGATGCAAAAACATAGAGATGTGACATCCAGTTATCAAAATATAAGCTAACCCTCCAAAATCCTACATCCAAACATATCTCAAGAGCGTGCCATGTTCCTTAAAACACTTCACATTTGATTCCCACGTCACTGTATAAAATGGAGTAAGCCAAAGTTGACTTTACGGATGCCATGTTCCCTAAAAGTATTCACATGAAGTGTATTAGGGCCTAGGTAAAATCAATAAGGTCAACATTGGCTTACTTCTTTGGTTCAATGTCATCATTGCCATGTGCTGCTTCTTGGAGCAAAAAGCAAGCACATGAAAAAAAACAGAACGAAAGGTCAATGAACTATCTATAACACATGTAACTTAAGCTCTCTAACAATGTAGACAGAGCATACAATAAATTATACAAGATGTAATGTTAAACAAAGAAGCATGGCACCTCAACAACAGGCTTAGCTACAGCTTCGTAAACGCGCTTTTGGGAAGCAAACTCTGTAAGCACTTCATCAAATTCATAGGTATCTGTGTCCCAGTTGTTTCTCCTAAGTTTCAACCGTTTAAGCTGAGAGAGAGACCAAACAACAAATTAAAAGCAAAACAGATTAAAAACAGCTCAAATATGCTATATCAACAAAAAAAAGTTAAGTAGAACTGGTATACCTCTGGCTGCAATTCAACACAATCTGAAAAATCTGCATCGGCCTCCATCTCCTCCGCATTTCGAGGACGTAATCTCACTGCAACTCTAACCCGGCCTGAAACTGTCAACGGAAACATCCAATGAACATCACGCGATAATTTTTAATTTTTTCAAAATGACTCCAACAACACATTGTCGCAATTCAATAGAAAATTTGAAACGAACAAACAAAAAGTACTCCGTATTTAGTAATTCGACTCGGAGCTACTTACTTCCGGCATCGTCCTTTCGAGAAGGGGAAGCTGAGGCGGCGGTGCTGCGCCGGAGACCGGAAACGGGAGGGGGAGTCGAGGTCTTGCTTCTACAGGATGGCGACGAAGAAGACGAGTTCGGAGAGACGTTCAGCGTCACCGACGCGTTGTTTCCATCGACCTTGGGAGCTCCTCCTCTGGAAACGGAGCCGTTCTTCGCCATTTTCGGATCGCCGGCCTTGTTCTCGGCCTGCAGTTTGGTGAAGAGGAGAGGCGAGTGGGAGAAAGGCGAGAAAAGAGAGAAAGACGGGCGTGGGTGGGGCCGGCTGGCCGGAGGAGGAATGTTGACTGGTCATGAGGAAGAAGTCGTGGTGGGTCAGAGTTTGATTTTTCCTTGCGCTTTCGTTTTTTTGCTATGCTTCGCTTTTTCAGGAGATCTCCGCCCAAGCCCCAAAGTGTGACACCTGATAGAGATATTGGATCGCCCTCCATAAATGAATTTCTACTTTAGCCCTATTTCACATTAAATTCAACATTTAGTTTATTTTATTTATTTGTTTTTTTTAGGAAAAAGAAAACTTTCATCAACGTGCCAACAAGTCTACAATGTAAATACGAGAAGTGACTTCATACGTGGATCGAAAAATATACCGAGTAAACAATTTTAACTAAAGCATAGCGGATGAATTCATAGCCTTCTGAACAAAACAATCAAATTAGAAGTAAAAAACGGAAGTCAATGCAAACAATCTTCAATAAGATAGCCAAAACATGGTGAATAAGAATCAAAGTCCCCCAATTAAATAGTTGTAACTACTTGCAAGTAGACCATGAAAAGTCTAACTTCACGAACTTCTCAAACTTTCAGCCATGACAATGCCCCCTGCATGTCATTAAGGGAAAAAGATTAAATTTGTGATTTGGGTGATGGACACCCCGTGGTGATTGAGCTATCTTGGTTTTTTCTTTTTATTTTTTCTTTTTTAAATTTCAACCCATTAAAATAATCTACACCCTTACCTTGTCACCATTTTGTCATATCCCTCATTCAACCACATATTACATACTCCCTCCGTCCCACTCTCTTTGTCCACTTACCTTTTGGCACACCATCAAATGCACTTCTTTAATCCATTTTATCTTGTAATTTGTATATTAAAAAATTATAGAAATTATATATTAATAATCTATATGTTAAGACAAATCAAACAAGATCACACATGACTATATTTAGGCTTACACATTGAGAAAATTTGATGAGTCAAAGTGCTTAGATGAACAGTTCCAAAAGTCAAAAGTGGACAAAGAGAGTGGGACGGAGGTAGTATTTCTCTACTCACACCTACTCGCTTTCGGATGCCTCGTGGCACCCCATCAAGTCCGTTATACTCTCATCAGGCCCGCTATCACAGATAGCCCAAATGAAATGCAAAATGTGTCCTTTTTACTGTCCTTACTCTCCCCTCTCTCTAAAATTGATCATTTCTACATTTTTTACTTTTTCCCCACTAAACCCTGCTACTGAGGGGTGGAGTAGGGGAACTTGGGGAGTATGGTACGTTTAAAATGCTAGAAGAAAGAAACGTCATTTTTGCAATTAGAGCACGGTAAAAAAGTTTAATTTGACTGATGTGAAGTTTGTTTCGAGAATGTATAGTATAAGATTAGTCGGCCTCATAGAGAAAAATGTATTTTTGATCTTTTTTAACATCACTTAAGAATAACAAAGATACGAACACCCGGGTGTGGTGGGCAACTTGCTTCCATTGCGACAAACAAATAAATATGAGATTGTTGCATGGGTATTTATAATATACAACCGACTGTACGGAAAGAACCGTACCGCCGGTTTTTAATTTGGTTAAAGGACGATCGACGATGAAGACGGTGAAATCGATCTGCGGCAGGGCGGAAGGCAAAATCAATCTGAGGCGATGAAGGAGATCTGCGGCAGTTTCGGGCAAAATCGGTCGGCGATGAAGAAGGAAGATCTGCGAAATCGATCGGCTATGAAGAAGGCTCCCCCGATCCGCGATTCCAGATCTGATTGGTAGGCAAACCTCTAATTCCAAATTTGTTCTAATTCCAATTTGGTTAAGATTTTAGATTTTTATGAATGATATGTTGTTTAAGAATGAACACTAGGTTATTTGGGAATGAAAACTACTAGGTTTTAGAATGAGTATTATGTTATTTGTAAATGAATATTGTACAAATGTGTGCAAATGAGTACTACGTATTTCAGAATGAGTAATGTGTTATTTCAGAATGAGTACCACGCTGTTTCAAATAAACCGTTATGTTTGTGTGAGAATGAGTACTACTTTACTTCAAAATGAGTACTACCCGGATGTACCTATCTTTAGGTACAACCGGTTGTACCATATACTTACTCGGGTCCCTCAACAAACATCTTCGGACCAATCACCCATTGAGTGGGAGCGATATTAAAAAGAAGGGCAACGAATATGAGTAGAATTATTTTACAATACTCTGTATTACTTCATGTATTTAGGGCCTGATTGGGAATAACGTTAGAGATTAACGTTAGCGTTTTGGATAAAATTTTAACGGTGCAGATTACTTTGAAAACGCTAACGCTAAACGCTGCCCGTAGATAGCCTTTTCAAAATACTAACGCTAATCGCTAACGCTATTCCCAAACAGGCTCTTAGTATTTTAGGTGATCATTTCATAAGCTCTTTCGAGAACTTCTTTAAGATTTTTTACCTTGTCGTTTTTTTTGAACTGTCAGAGTTAGTGAAAAGTTCCACGTTTTCATACTGATTTCCCAATTAAATAAATTGTTACCATTACAATTTTTAAATAGTTAAAGAAAAAACTATAGGGGAACCGAATCAGGGATCAGCTTGGCACCAGTCAGTTCTGGGACCGGACCAGATATCGACGTCATCTGACACCGATTGCGTGGAGGAGGTGAAAGGGATCAGGACCGGCGATTTCAGAAAAGAAATCACCCTACATAGCACTCTAACTCACCCTAAATTACGCATTTAGCACTACTCATTGTTTTTAACAAATTTAGCAATTTATGGTGTCAATCCTTTCCTATCATACCCTTTACCCCTTTTTCTTTTTTTTCATTAAAAATTACGGCATTCAACTCCAATCTCTCCTTTCGTTCTCCCGCACGCTATTGAACTCCACGGTCTCTCCTTCCGTTCGCCAGCGATGATGTGTCCTCAGTCCTTCGCTCACGATTCCTTGGCCGATCAGCAGCGGCAATCATCAGGTTCTCTCCCATGCTAATCTTTGATGTCGCTAATCATTTTCTCTTCTCCTTCAATTTTTAATTTTCATTCCTTCATCCTTTTATTCGGATTTCCCTGTATTTTTTATATTAATTATTGTGTTTTCTTCGTATTGAAGATTAGGTGTATGTTGTGAAATCAATTTTGAAATACCAAGTATTTGTCCCTTTTGAAAAATTAGGTATTTTGAAAGACATTGTGATTTTGGCAGCGTGAAGATTGGGTGTTATAGTGTGGGCAGTGTGAAAATTAAATGTTAAAATTTTGTCTTGCATCTTTTTATTCGGATTTCGCTGTATTTTTAGTTTTAATTATTGTGTTTTGTGGCAGTGTAGATATATTGTGATAGTGTATATATATTGTGACAGTGTATTTCAGACATTGAATTTTTGGCAGTGTATATATTGTGGCAGTGTATTTCAGACATTGAATTTTTGGAAGTACATATTGTGGCAGTGTAGAGAGTATATATTGCAGTGTATAATTACCATAAAAGATAAAAGGTCACGGCTTAAAATGAATTCTGCTCTTTTTTTGGCAGTGTTGTATGTGTTAGGGCACTAAATTCAATCTCAAGCATATTGTGGCAATGAAGAGCAGAGAATTTCATACTTATTTATAATGTGGCAGTGAAGAGTATACATTGCAGTATAATTCTAGTTTTGGGAGTTTATTTAAGGACAAAAACGAGAATTCATCCCAAAAACTAATAGCACTGCTATTTTGAGTATTATAAGGCTATTAAAGTGTTATTTTCGTATTTCTCCCATTTCAGAACCAGTATCGAGATCGGACTGGCTCGTGTTTAGCTCAAGACTCTCGTGCCCTTTATGGTTTTAAAACGTGCATCAATGCCTCCATGTGGAACTTTAGATAAGTTTTGGCTGTAAGGATTTTGTAGATAAGTTTTAAATTATTTTAAATTTTGAAGAAATTTCAAGGCATATAAATCAATATAAAGAAGTAGAAATCACCCTAAATAAGACTAAAATATAGAAATGTACAAAGATAAGACTTCCATGTTTTATTTTCGAAATAGGAGTTCGTACTGTGGTAATGTGAAGGTAATGTGGCACTGTACACGTGCACATTACTATACTTTTTGGTAATTACATGATCACATTTGGTAATGTAAATGCATTTTAATTCATATTTCAAGAATAAAAACATAGAAGTCTTATTTTGGTGTATTTTCAATGTTTTACTCATACTTTAGTCTTTTTCCCTATAAAAAATTAAACAAATCGAAAATTTTTGAAAAAAGTATGATAATTATGCAATATCATTAAAATTTTATGCGAAAATATAAATTTATACACTAAAAACAAGTAATAAAAAATTAATTATAACCTTATTTTTATAACATTATATTTTATTGTAAAGAACGAAGTATATGATTTTTTGAAAAACCCTTACATTAGCAAGTCGGTCAAATCGAGTTCGGTTTCGATCAGGTTTGACTCATTTTTAGCAGGTCATTGTGAGCTCGGTCAACTTTAAGTTCAGTCAACAAAACCTCTGTTCAAAACTCAATATTTTCAAATCGGTTTTAGATAAAAAAAATATGTCGGATCATTTTTTTGCTACGCTTATGCTTCTCCATAGGGGTGTTCAAAAATATCAGATCCGGGCATATCCGATCCGAAAAATGGATATCCGATCCGATATTTCATCTTTCGGATATTTCAGATCGGATACCCAAGAAAAATCGGATTGGATATGGATTCAAATTCTGGAAATTTTCCAATAATCGGATATCCGATTTTTTGGCTATATGTTTAATGGAATTTTATGGATATATATTATTGCTATATGTTTAATGCAATTTTATATTGATTTTGGAACTCAAGCATTTTGGACTTCTTGCATTAGCATTTTGGAACTTTTTGTTTTAGTAGTACTTTTTTGTTTGTTTAGGCCAAATTACCAAAGTTACTCTCAAATTGAATTTGGTATCATTTTTTTAATAAGTCATTACCTAGTGGTGGAATTTTGCTTTTAGTAAATATACATTATATTGAATTTGATATTATGAGTTGATTTTGCTATTTCACCCTTTATTGTAAATTTTGGCTAAAAAGTTAACTTTTCGAATATCCAAATACTTTTGGATCGAATATGGAATGAGTTTTACATGATTCAAAATATTCGGATATCCGAATTTTTGGATCAGATCGGATTGATCCGATTGAACACTCCTACTTCTCTATAGGGTTGACAATGTTAAATAGGGAGTAATATGGTTGTAGTGGTTGGGGATAATAATTGCGTGTGTGCATTTTGGGATGTTTCCCAATTTCCATTTCAAGAACCCATAAACAGAGAATAGATCGAATGAGAATATATAGTGGCCACGACCGGCCAAATATAATAAGGTGATCGATCGATGATGTGAACTCCATGGAATTGAAGTCTATATATATTTATGAAACTAAATGATATGATCACTTCAAGAAATTAAACAGACCATCAATGAATCGAAGAAACAAAAATCTCAAATGTTATGATTGCATGCACATATATTATTATTATTATTATTCGATCTCGATGCATATGTGTGTGTGTATATATATATATATATCTATGTATATATCACGGAGTACATGCACTCGATTGCGGTGAGTATAATTGCTCCACACCTTGTGTTCATTAGCACTACACAACATTATATTGCATACAATTCAAGCTCCACTCTATAATACATAATTCTTGCCTTTCATTATATATTGGATGCACATGTACATCCAATTTTTTTTATCATTACTTTCTCCGTTCATATAATACGGATCTGAGTATTATTCTATAACAATTTTCACGCAAGTTCTTTTGATCTTGAAACTCCGAATCATATTATGACAAAAACACATATAGTGTTTTGTTGGTAAAATTATTGGTCTTAGATCCCTGATTTGGCAACCCAAATCAATGAGTCAAAAGACCATTGTCGAAGAACATTTAATTTGATGTTATAGATATACTTTGGTATGTCAAACAAGAACATACTTCTTGCAATCATACAATTGCGTCCGAAATCTCTTGTTCTCCTAGTATTTTCGTCAATATATTTAAATTAGATTGGACAGTGTCCGAACAAATGGGCTTAATAGTTAACGGTTTGAAAAAACACTTAGAGTTCATAAAATGAGTATGAATGCAAGAACAACAAAAAAATTGTATTGAGGGACTAATTAAGATGCTAACCTTTTTTAGTTGATCTTTTTACCTATCAGAAATGATGATCACAAGGGTAATTAGATTATTAACCTAGCTAATAATAGTAACTCCTTAATAATAATAATGATGATATATAATACTAACCCATATACCGACAATTAAAGCATTTCCTCCTCTTGGGCTTTCGAGAATTTCTTGAATAAAGTCATATACATACACTATTTACGTAATGATTAGCCCTCTTGTGACCATCATTACCATCCTTACCTTGATCAATTTTTTCAAAAACAAAACAAAACGTATAATTCCTACCCATCACCAAAGTAATTAGTAATTTCATTTTTTGTAATTAATTAAGTAATTAATTGCCAAAGCACCACGTAAACGTGGGGTTAAAAAGCCCATCTACTTTGACAAACATGCCTTCCATTGCACCTATTTATAGGGCCTTTCTTCCCTTCACACTTTCCATCCCCATCAACTCTCATTACATTTGATTTTATTTCTTTATAAATTCCATCTTTTCTCCTTCAAACTACAAAATAACCTTCTTCTTCTTCTTCTTCTCTTCAAGATTAATTAAGTAAGATATGTGTATCTCCTCATCAGAGCCCATCCATTGCAGAACTTCCATGCATAATAAACTTCGTCCTAAACGCTCTAAGCTTCAGCTTCACCGCCTTACGTGGTACGTATATATATTATATATTAGTGTTTGATTTAATTTCAATAATGAAAGTGCTATAGTGTTTAAGTGTTCTAGCTAATTAAACAATCGTTTTGAAAACTTAGAATTAACCCGTTTATGCAGTAAGAACTTCAGATGTCTGATTTTAATTTTTTCATAGAGTCCACATAAATTTAGAATGGAGCCTCGTAGTCTAGCTATACATGTACTAAGAATTTGAAAAATATTTCAAACTCTAACATGTTTGATCACGAGAATGCCCTTTGACTTTAAAAGAAAAGTCAACAAGGGGTTTTTTTGGGAATTAAAACCGCCACCAAGAGTTTTAACTGAGACGTACGAGTATTTTTATTGTGATAAATGCAGGATGATGAGGAAGAGGAGAGACGAGGAGAACGCGGAAATGGAGAAGAAGAACATGAAGCTGTACATGGAGAACATGAGAATGGTGGAAGAGAATGAGAGGTTGAGGAAGAAGGCCATTTTGCTCCATCAAGAGAATCAAGCTTTAATCTCTCTTTTTCAAAACACTACTCATGTAGTCCCAGACCATTCATAGATTCAAAAGCAAATTTAATTTGTTCGGATGGAATTACATATGCCAATTATAGAATAAAATTAGTACTCCGTATATTGATATAATCATCATTATATTCAATTTATGACTTGGATTTGTTCTTTTATTTACTCCATTTATTTTCAATTTTTGGCCTTATTTGGGTTCGTGTTCATGTTAGAATATTACGGAGTAGTATAAATCTTTCGTATGCCACAACCACAAACTTGAGTGCGCTTTTGGTAGAGTTGGTTCAATTCGTTAATATGGTATATGTTGACCAAGAGGTTAAATTACGAGTTTGAAATTCAGCGTCACACAATTTTAAAAAATTATGTTAACATGCAAAGCTCGAGCAAAACGCCACCCAATAATAGAAAATAATTAATGCTCACATGCAATATACGAGCAAAACGCTACCTAAATTTTTAAAAAAAAGTTTAATGTTCACGTGCAATGTTTGAGCAAAAAAAATAAATCTTGCATGAACGTGAGATGACGTGTTAGGATATAAAAAAAATTTCAAGGATGCAATCACAAGCTTGAGTTGTTGATTGAGTTTGTTCTTTGAGAGTTCATAGATGTGAATTGAGTATTATGTTGTTGAAATGATAATGATAAAGTACAGAATTGTTTAAACAAACTGTTTTACACATTTTATTAATCGTTCGACGCGTGGCTTTTTAGTAAAGTAGTTTCTAAACAGGAAATAATCATGAAACTCAATAAATTAACTGATTTTGCGCATTCTAACGTATTGTGTTTGTTCTAACGCACATCATGAATGATAATGATAAATTATAGTACTATTTAAACAAACTGTCTTACTCTATTCCCAAAAAAATAAGATTATCTTTACTATGCACAAGATCTAATTATATTTTTTTCTTTACACAATTTAATTTTATTAATCATTTGACAGTATATTTGCATCAAGTCCTACTTTCCTATGGCATATAGAGAAGGTGTTTGACGTATGACCTTTTAATAAAGTAGTTTCTAAGTACCACTTTGACAAAATTAAACAAGAAATCATAAAACTCAATAAATTAAATAATTTGCGCATTCTAACGTACGGTATATGTTTTAACGTACAATATGGAAAATGGTACCTGTGAGCGCGATCACATGTCATATCGAGTTTTGAGAGGTAATGATTCTACTGGCTCGATCACGTTGATATACACATGAAATTTTAATGAATGATAAAAATCACGAGACTCAATAAATTAAATGGGTTTTCACGTTCAAAACGTACTCTATATGTTCTAATGTACTTTATTGAAAATGGTACCTCTGAACGTGATCACATGTTATATTGAGTCCTCTTTTAATTTTTGAAAGGTAATGATTTTACTAATTAGGTAGCAACGAAATACCCATGAAATTTTAACTAACGATACTAATGAATTGCATCACTGTTTAAACAAATTATCTTACTTTGTTTCCAAAAATAAGGTTCTCATTCACTACTCACAAAATTGAATTATATTTTTTTCTTTACACATTTTTATTAATCGTTTGACAGTGTGTTTGCATATACTCCTACTTTACTTACGGCATATAGAGAAGGTGTTCAAGGCGTGACCTTTTAGTAAAATACTTTCTAAGTATTACTTTCACAAAATAGTAAATCATGAAGCTCAATAAATTAATTGGTTTTGCATGTTCAAAACATACTCTATATGTTCTAATGTACTTTATTGGAAACGATACATCTGAATTGAACGCAATCACATGTCATATCCAGTCTGCTTTTAATTTTTGAAAAGTTAATAATTTTATTAGCTGGGTAGCAACAAAATACCCATGAAATTTTAATTAATGATACTGGTGAATTATAGAACTATTTAAACAAATTATCTTACTTTGTTCTTAAAAACAAGGTTCTCATTTACTACTCACAAGACTGAATTATACTTTCTTTTCTTTACACATTTTTATTAATGGTTTGATAGTGTATTTACATAAACTCCTACTTTACTTATGGCATATAGAGAAGGTGCTCGACGCGTGGCCTTTTAGTAAAATAGTTTCTAAGTATCACTTTCACAAAACAGAAAATCATGAAACTTAATAAACTCTACATGTTCTAATGTACTTCATTGAAAATGGTACTTCCAAACACGACTACATGTCATATCGAGTCTTCTTTTAATTTTTGAAAGGTAATGATTTTACAAGCTGAGTAACAACAAAATTCCCATAAAATTTTAATGAAAGATACTAATGAATTACAAGAGTGTTTAAACAAATTGTCTTACGTTGTTCCTAAAATATAAGATTCTTATTCACTACTCAAAAGATCCAATTATATTTTTTCTTCCTTAGTAGATGTTTCAATATACTCCCTCCGTTTCTTAAAACTCTTCCTCTTTCATTTTTTTTGTTTTTCTTAAAACACTTCCCCTTTCTATTAAAAAACCACTTTTACCCCTACTTTTTCATACCATACCTATCACATCATATTTTTTCACTAACAACTAAACTATCACATCTTACTTTTACCCATCACATCAAGGGCAAAATTGGAAAGTCAACTACAATTTAACACTTCCTTATTTTCCCCCAAAGTTAAAAGAGGAACTCTTTTGAGAAACGGAAGTAGTACTTTTGAAGTATGTATGCTTCTTATAAATACCGATCTCTTAATTCTAAACTAATATTCAAATAAATTGAGTTAAAATACTTTAAAATCTATGCTAATATCCAAACTCCAAACACGTTCGAAATCGCGTCAAAAAGATGTTTCAAAAAAGCAAAAAAGAAAAAGAAAAGAACTTTAAAAAAAATCGAAAACATGATTAGTCCGACATTAACAACACTTTTATGTAAGAAATTGTGAAACTCGATCATATAAACTTGTCGCTAAGGTTGTGTTGTCAACAGTCAACACACGTGAAGTTGTGCACTAGAATCAAAGAACATTTTTTTACTAGAAAAAAAACAGTGGTTTTTGGGGATTGGGGATTTTTTTGGTCAAACGGATAGAAAATTGGATGAATATCTTTTTCTGGCAAAAGAAAATGGGATGAAAATACAAATATGTACAAAACTCGAAAAAGTCAACTATTTTGCCTCTACATAATAATATCGTTTCGTTTGACTTTGTCCCTCATTCACATTTAAACATACTCATAAAAAAATGCTAAACTTTTTTTAGGGAAAAAATGATAAACTTTGATTCGAGATATAAAAAAGGCCAAAAAAGCGTAAAACTTTATTGGGTAGTCAGATAGAGACTCTGATCCTATACAACTCACAAATGATAGTGATTCGCTTATATGTTTACTTTGACGTTACTTATTTCTCTCTCAGCTTCATTGTTGAATGTGTACTGTATTTGTTTGCTACGCACAGCTAATCAGAAACATAATGAACCTAGAGCCAATCCGGGAATATAATGAGGAAGATGAGATGTGAGAGCATGGGTGATGACTTAGAATTGTTAATTATTTCCAATTGACTTATTATGTTTTTGGACATGAGTCCCAAGTTGTGTTTCAGATTAATTATTTAAGCTTTCGCACTGGGGCTTTACTCCGATGATGAAATATTTTATTGAATGGGATTTGATTGAATATTTTTGATTAAATTATTTAAAAAAAATTGTGTGTTTGAATACGAGATTAGTAGCAACTTGATTCGTCAACTCATGTATTCAGATTATGCGACATGGAGTGTTACATAAATACTCTGTACTTCCCAAAGCTTTAAAAGAATAAAAAAGGTAAAATATATTTTTGGTCCTTGTAAAATGCGCGAGTTGTGTTTTTGGTCCATTCCATATATTTTTTTTATTAAATCATCCGTGTATTTTTTGCAGATAGTCCTCTCCGATTTAAATATTTGTTTTGATCCTTGTAAAATTTATAATTTTAGTCCCTCAATTTTTTTGGTTCATTCCTTCCTCTTTTTTAAATTATTAAATGCTCCATACAAGACCAAATTAAAACATTACTACAAATTGTTTTAAATTTTTGTTGACGAAATAATTTTCAATGATTCTTTAAAGCTAAATTATTAGTAAATATCTTGATTACTATCATTATACAAGTAGTCATCCTCAAAGAAATTAAATACTCCCTCCGTCCCGGAAAACATGGGAGTTTTGGTTTTGGAGAGGGATTTAATGAGAGTGTATTTTGGTATTGAATTTCCAAAAATGTCCTTTGATGTGATGGGTAAAAGTATGATTTGATGGATAGATTATTAGTAAAAAGGTATGATGTGATAGGTAGGGTATGAAAAAGTAAGAGGTAAAAGTGACTCTTTAATAGAAATTGATGGTGTAAATATCGCTGGGTGGGTTAACCGGGTTTGACCTGGACACACTCGACCCGTAATATAAAACACACAACAAGAACACAAAGTATGACCTAGACCGGGTAAATCTCCTCAGTCCGAATTATATTTCTTACTCTATCTCAAGAGTGAACTTTAGTGAGAGAAAAATTGGATCCCCTCCTCTATCAAATATCATCATATTTATAGAGAAGGATTTGTGACCCTCCCCTGTTCATCCATGGACAAAATAGGAAGCTCGTGGGAAGGTCACTGTAGATAATGGAAGCATTGTACAATCATAGAATTTAGCAACTATAAGCCAAGACATGTACTGCTCAATCAAAGACTATAGATGAATATTCTCAATCCAATCAGCCCTGCAAAGTGACAAACATCCCTTTCACTGTTTGTCTTGTGATGGACGAACGGCGGGGTGGTCCCTCGATCTTTGACGTGGTTCACCATGCCTGAGATACTGGACCAATGTTTGTCAAGTAAAATGATATGACCGGTCACCTTTTTCTCAAAGGTTGACCGGTCATTTCTTGAGCTCAACCCGTCTCTTTGGTCTTCTTGAATTCTTCACAACATTAGGTGATATTTTGGCTATCGCCCAAAATGTGACCGGTCACTTTTTTAATGGAAGTGACCGGTCAACTTTTGACCCGTCCCAATTGAAGAGTTAACCTCATTTGGTGATTGGTAAAAGTGACCGGTCATATTTTGACTTGTCCCTTTCGGTTGTCCGGGT